TATAATCATTCCACCAGTTGAGTAACTGAGACTCATGGCTGCAAAGTAGAATTCTGCCTACTGACTACTTTTATTTCTTTTTTAGAAATATTTTATTTTATTGGTACACTGCGATATATGCAGAGCCATGTTTACAGCAGCACAATTTGTATGAGTGAAATCTTATTCCTCATATTTAACATCTTTCTACTTGACCAGACCTATCCTGTCATAATGTAGAAATATCTTCCGGTCTTTCCTTTGTTGCTCTGTGTATTAAGAAGTACCTTCCCCAGTCCCCAGTTTAAATTCTGCTACTATCCATACTATTTAATCATTATATTTCAGTGATAATTTTTATCTCAAATTTAAACTTTCTATTTTGTCAGAAATACACATCAAAGTGTATTAAAAGTGATTTCAGTGTCAATGCTTATCACTAACGAGAGAGCTACGTTTGCAGCTTGGTAATATTTGTGTTATTGTGGTCACTTAGTGCCGCTCACCAAATTTCCCCAATTCTCCATCTTTTGTAAGCATGGTGACACACACAGCAGCACATCCTATGGTCCACTGCATGTTGGCCAGGAAGCAAGACAGGTGTGGTAGAGGGAGGGGGCAGAGAGAGAAGGAGATGGAAAAGGAAGAAGATGGAGATGCAGGAGGAGGAGGAGGAGGAGCCAAGATGAGAACACATCCTTCCAGGTCACACCCACAGTGACCTTCCAACCAGGCCCCACCTCTGAACACATGGGACTTTGGGGGACATTTTAGATCTGAACTATGTTGTTCTGGCCCAGCCTCCAAAATGTTTGTGACCACCTCATGCCAAATGCATTTAGCCCATTTGTAAGAGATGCCGAAGTCTTAACAGTTTCAGCATTGTTAAAAAGTCTTAAGTCCAGTGTCTCTTTAAGACTCAAGGCAAGCTCTTAGTTGCTCGCTCCTGTAAAATTCAAAAAGAATTTAAAATACTTACAGCCTACGATGTCACAAGGTGAACATTCCCATTTCAAAAGGGGCAAACAGAGGGATAAAAAGGAATCAAACCAAAGGGAGACAGAAAGCTGGCAGGGCCAATAGTAAATCCTGCAGTTCCATGTTGTGATGGCTTATAAACTCCAGAGGGCTTGCGCTGCCCTGCCTCCATGGCATTGTCAGTGGCAGCTCTCAAAGTCTCTCTCCCGCTCCCTGTGATTTTCCTCAGAGATATTCCACATACCTGGCATCTCCAACTTCTTGTAGTCTTCACTGCACCTTTGGCTTCATTCTGGCAGCTTTATACAGCGCCCTTCTAGGGGCACACGGCCGGGCTGCCTAGGCCTTCTTCTGAAATCTAGATAGAAAGTATCATGACTCTAGGACTCTTGCATTCTACGTGTATTCAGAACCAGAATTATGTGGATGATGCCCAGGTCTGCCACCAACTTGAGCAGTAGCTGAGCTCTGTGTACTATGGCTGCAGTAGCCCTGAAATACTTTGTTGGCTGGACTCAAGAATGTATTTTCCTAGAGTAAGCAGAAGGTCCTGGGGTTCTCTTTATAAAGCAAGGTCTTTCAAACGAGTTTATACTATTATACCCTTGCTCTTGCTATGGATACAGTCTGGCCATTTCCCGAGAGGTGCTCAAGATATCTTTTCTATTGTCCTGTTTCAAGGTACTTGGCTTCTTTTTAATCTAATTTTTTCAGCAACCACATTGATCTTGACTCCAGCTTCATAGGTGCTTCCATTCTGGTCACCAGCATACTTTTTCAAATTATTCAGCCTTCCTTTTTGGTCCTGATTGTCAAAAGGAGGTTGAAAGAGGATGAACCTATGCCACATCTTGAATATTGGGCTGCTTTGAAATTTCCTCCATCAGATTAAATAATCCACCACTCTTAATCACAGCCCCCTGCAAAGTCTCAGGACCTGGGCAACATGAGGATAAATCTTCTGCTTTGATGTCATACACACGACTGCTAGGCCACTTGCCTTATTCCCCAATAAAATCTCCTGAGCCTGGACTTTACTGTCCACAGTCCTATTGGCATTCTGATTTTCTGAGCCCAGATCAGTACCGCACACTAATATCTTCAGCTCATATCATTCTGGGCCTTCTCTGTGTGGACTTTCCAAACCTTTCTAACTCTTCCCACAATCCAGTTTTAAAACCTTTTAACCACATAGCCATGGTTCACAGCAACAACCCTACCCCTGATGTCAATTTTCTGTATTGGTCACCTTTCCTATCACTGGGAAAAATATTCAACACTCGAAATTAGAGGAGAGGTTTGTTTTGGCCCACATTTTCAGTGGGTTCATCCATGGTTGGCTGACTCTAAGAGAGAAATGGCAGGGTGGAGTGCATGGTGGAGAAAGGCTGTTTACCTCATGGTGGCCAGGAAACAGAGGGAAAGGAGAAAAGACGGCAAGAAGAGTACATGTTTCCCACATTCATACCCACACTGACCTGCTTCTTCCAACAAGTTCCTGTTTTTGAACAGGCCCCATCTCCAAACACTTGAGACCTTTTAAGGGTATTTTAGGTCAAAACCATAACATATCCCATATTGACAGATTATTCTTCATCAAATCACTTTACCTCTTTATTTAGTCTATAACTTTACCATTCAATGTAAAAAATGAAAGTGAAAGAATAATGTACATGTGCTGCATACCTCTTAAATGTAAGATATTTTAATTTCTGCAATCTCATTAATCGCTCTCTTTTTTTTTTTTTTTTTTTTTTTTTTTTTTTTTCT